CTTATATTTAAGAATAACAGCGTGGTGAACTTCGAGGAGGGCTCGATGATGTTCGACCGGAGCAGCTTTCGCTTAGAACTCGACAACCTATTGGTCGACCAACCGTGCGACTGTCAGTTGCTACCCGTCTGGAAGAACAACATTCTCAATTACACGAACGTCTACTCGAGGTTCTACACCAGACAAAACATCGTGTCGCCGCCTACGTTATCCCCTCAGGACACCATCAACGAGACCCCAGAAACGTTTCTCTGTTCGGACGGCGACGTAGACGGTGTACCGACGAGTTTCATCGAATACGAGACACGTCACTGTTCGCTAGGCGGGTCTATACTAGTCTTCGTTCTGATCATCGTCGGTCTACTGGTCCTGTTAACGCTGATCACCTGCCTGATCATCTGGTGCTGCAGAAGGCGTCGCCCTAACAGCCGGAAGAAATGGCACAGTGTCCCTACGACGAACGCGCCTGACGTTGTGTCGAAGAAAAACGGCGTGATAGGAAGAGATGCAGCGACGTCAGCCGCACCAGTCGACAGCCGGATAACCATGGTGGTGCCTGACGGTAGGCTCTACAGGGAAACCGAGTTCCACGTGATCGTCGAGAAGGCAGAACCGTTGACTACAGAGTTGTAACGAGAACCTTCGTACGGTTCGACGAGCAGGACCGTGACGGCTCGAGTAGAAGAAGAATTCGAGTGGTCTGAAACGTCGAACCGTTTTCGCGTGTACAAGCTGTGAAGCGTCTATTGGACACGTTGTGGTATCAACATCGGTGGTGTTTAACGATTGGTGACGCGAAACACGTGCCCGGTGTTGTTTCTTACACCGAAAGTGCGAACAAGAGACGATTGAAATGCAGCTTGTGTGTAAACGCGTGAATGATTCAATGTTTTTCTCTTTCCTTTTCTGGACTGAATTTTGCGGAACTTTTTAACGAAGAACGCCCTATTGTATGTATCTGTCTTCTTCGAAGAAGATTTTTCCACGTACTATTAAAGATTAAGGAAAATT